TCCACCCGAAAATACAAAAACGCAGACATATATTTATATAACAAACTTCTAAATTGTGTCACAATTTAATTAAATTCGACTCTGAAGATGAAGGCGGAAAATTCCTTCGAAATGTTGGTATCCGCCTACAAAACTATCCCGAGTCAAAATAAACTTTGAAGATGTAGGGGAGCAATTTCCTCGGGAAGCCTGTATCAACCTTCAAGACTACAAGTCGACTTCGAGCCTGAAGACAGAAGCAGCAAGCTCTTCTGAAATATTGATATCCAATTATATGACTAGGAGTCGACCTGAAGATGAGTCAACAAGTTTTCCTAAATGTTGATATTTACCTAAAAGAGTACACGATACCACGTCCTATTCGAATATATCAATCTTCTGTCCTAAAGATGGAAGCAGAAAAATCCTCAGAAACATTGGCATATAACTACCAGGCTACATGGCGTCATCAGAAGACAGTAGTCTTCATTTTAGTAGCGTTTATTTGGATATATATATATATATATATATATATATATATATATGCGCTTCTTACCTCACACGTCACAATATGAGTAAACTTTATCTCTATAATTTCACTCTTGCCTTATGTGAAATATTCCAAAACCAGTTCTATTAATTGCGTCATATCTAACCGATCCAGTCGGAAAGGAAGTTACGTAAAAATTGGCCACCACTCAAATATTTGTCTTAATCCTAAAAGGACAAGTTAATATTTCATTACGAATCAAGGTTTCCTTCTTTTTTAATTAGCAGTCACTTACCCAGATCCAACGATTCATGCATGCTACATGGTCATTAAACAAGTACAAGGACCATATATACAACAGCGCATTTAATTTGCCCTGTGGGTCCTCCTCCAGCCCGGATGCTAACGTCACTGAAAATCTTGTTTAAGCACTATACTATGCTTCGTCTAAAGTATCTTAGAGTTTGCGTCATCAGTAGATAATGACGTAACTCACTGCAGCAAACGATGGAAACCAGCATCGTCATATCGAATATCTCGTTGAGCACACGGGGCTGATTTCAGTGTATTTCGAATTCCCTCTTGTATAAATTAGTTGTTCGGTGTATCACCTAAATAAGAGTAAAAAGTTTGTGTGTTCAAGCATCACACCACGAAGACGTATGAAGGAGTGGAGATATAACTCCACCGTTCTTAAATTCAACACTAGATGGAGGTGAATTGTCAGCTTCATGTCTCTTTCGCTTTACCCCCCGGGAAAAATAATCAAGAATCCACTGGATTGGGCACAAAATTTGGTAGAGACAGGCGTTTCAGAGGAGAGAAAATACTTTATTCTGCCGGAAATCGATCCCCGATACTTCAGCCATCCAGCTCGTAGACCGTCGTTGTATAGACATGGCTACCACGCCTAAATTGTCCGTGTGATACAAGTGCTGTAGCCTGTACAATACAGGCAGAGCTACAAGCTCTTCACATCAGATGTTTCTGTTTCTCTTCTCACCGTCACGGTATAGCATATACAGTAGCTTAAACTTCAATGAATAACGCTCACATTAAGAAACCAAAATTTACTTACTCAAGCTGGGCCGCCGGGACTCGATTCCCGGCAGGGAAAATTTTTTATCTTCTGCACAGAGTCCAGACCCAACCTCCTATCCAATGGGTGCCGGGGAAACTTCCCCGATAGTAGAGCGACGGGTCGTGAAGCTGACCACTCACCTTCATCTAGTGCCGCGGTTAAAATGATGGAGCTGCACCTCCACTCCCCCATATGCCTTCATTCCTTATTGTTTAATTACATTAAGTAAATGGATAACTATCTATACATACACTTTCCCATACGCCTTCATGGCGTAGTGCTTAATTAATTAAACACAAGGGACAACTGTGCCTTTTGCCCTTTTTTTTTCCTTGGCACTACAGCCTCAGTGGCCTAGGCCTACTTCCATGAAGCCTTTTACCTTTTACAAGGATATATTTAACTTCATCTTTAGCGAAGGGGAAATTTTTTCCCTAGCGTCCCAGATTTGTTCTGCCGACCATTTGTCACGAACACACGTGTTGAATTAGAAGCTAAACCTACAGAAATTCAACACATGTAATAACGAGTAATCTTATGAGTTTACGCCGTACATGAAATGACTCAGACTTGTTCTCTGGAAATGTCCAACAAGTTTTTCGACCTCCAGTGCGATATAAAAATATGTACTTGTTTTCATACTTACTAGAATAGCCTGGAGTTAAATATTTCGTCTCCATTTTTATGCCAAGGGTATCAACTGGATATTTTATAAGGTGCCAACTAGTTTGACTGGAAAGAAAAATTGAACCTAACGGCAATGTGTTGTTTGTAGTTCACCGGTCAGCATGTTTCCTGGGATCACAAACACGAGTACAACCAAATAATTGAATGTGGACGTGTCTTTCGCTGCCTCAGTAGAAAACCGTTCTCAAGTATTCACCCCATCTTGTTACTGTCGTCATGGTTTGAAGAATATAGTCGTGCTCTCCTGCGAAGGCACTTAATGTTGTTAGTCGGCGACTGAGATACACAGAGTGGTCCAAAACTCAGTTAATTTTTTAGTAAAATGTACACTAAACAAAAACAAAACAAACTCCGTGGCCTGTAGTCCGGAAGCTAACTATACCGACCTAGCGACCGCCGCTTGCCGCCGAAGTTAGTGCCAACTTTAGCGGATAGACGGCGTCGCATGGTCAGCGCAACGGATCCCCGCGGCCGTTAATCTGTTTTCTAGACCGGAGCCGCTATTTCCTTTAAATAGCTCCTCAACTATCCTCACGAGGCTGAGTGGACCCCGTTCCAGACCCACTACTTCTCAGAAAATCTGGTAGCGCCGGAAATCGAACCCAGGACCTATGGATCTTTAGCCAGGAACTCTGACCACTAGACCACAGAGGCGTTCCCTGTGCTTAACCAATTACACAGTAGACCACGAAGGCGTATTGGAGATTGGATATATAGGTCAATATATTCTTGACCTCGGGACTAGGTGGTGAATGGTTAGCTTCACGACATGGCTGCTTCACTCCCGTGTGAAGAGTCCCCGGTACCCACTGGATAGGAGGCTGGGTGGGCCCCAGAACCGGTCTGGACGACGTGGAGAGGAGAACAATTTTGTCTCTACCTGGACTCAAACTCCGACTCCTCGGCCGTCCAGCCCGTGGACAGTCACTGTTTCTTTATTACTTACTGGATTTATAAAAGTTATTCAAAATGAGATCATCATTGCTCAAGTCACAACGCTGTGGTACCATTCTGTATTGGCGGGTTTAAATCTGAAGATTCCCCATAATATATATATATATTGCAATTAAATTATAAACTGACACTGAAATGTTGTTTACATTTTTAAAGGTACAAAAATCAAAAGAAACACTAACGACAATTATCTAGAGAACGAGGATCTTTGTGAATATTAAGTGGCTTGGTGTACTGCCACGTAAAACTTAAAAAATTTCACGATATATTTCTAAAAATATCTAATATATTACATTGTACCCTATTGTGCACAAAAATTTATTAGCAATTTCATATAATTTACATGTAAAAGCAAAATTTCTCCCCTTCAATTTAACCTACCAAAATTGTTTTATATTTTGTATTCGGCAATTACTAAATTTTGTGATTTAATTGTCTGTAAAGGTATATAATTTATTTGCCTTTCTGTGTTTCCTCTTAGTCTAGATAAGCCATCAGAATGCATAAAGACTGTTGATACTTCGGAAAAGAGAGCCAATAAACATGGGTGTACGATCAATTGTTCCACGGAAATTTCAGAAGGCGTTCTCTAGATGAAGTCTACATTTACATGGCTCGAGATGTGTATGCAGACGTAACCAGACTGACAACAAAGCAATTACTCTATAATTATACATTCGGTAAACTTGAATCCTAATTTATTACTTCTTAATTACAATAATACTGGTCCCTCAACCGTACGCGGTACCGTAGTTGGTTGAGGCACTATGCTACAAGCCAGAACGTCGCGGGTTCGATTCCCGATGAGGTAATTGGATTTTTCAATTGACCTAGTCGTTCCAGCCGCACCTTGGTCCTGGGGTCGACTCAGCCTCTAACAGAAATGAGTGCCAGAGATCTTCCTGGGAGGTAAAAGGCGGCCGGGGCGTAAGGCTGACAAACTAACTGCCATCTGTCTAGAAAATGAGAGAGCCTCAATGTCTCACAACCCTATGGGTATCCTTGGCATGTTACAGGGATAACATTACCCTTGGTTTTACCCTTAGTCGCTGGCTTCCCACCGCGGCGGCCCGGGTTCGAGCCCAGGTCAGGTCATGTGGGATTTTTGGTGGACAAAGTGGCATTGGGGCAGGTTTACCCCCAGTACTTTTGTTTCCCCTGCCAATTCTGATCCCACCAATTCCTCCACAATCACCATCACCTATCATCTGGGGCTGGTACAATAGGCCAGAAGTGGCCGCAGTACCAAGTGGACTAAGTCTCACCCCACTAAGAATAACACAAATAATAAGAATACGAGTAGTATTGGCTTTACAGAACCGGAGATTCATCGCCATATTCACAAAAGCAGCTATTATTATAGTAATTAGTTACTGCCTGGAATACCGAAGTTGGTTTCCTGACTAGAGCGGGTGTTGTCCTTTTTTGGCACCATGTCCAAACCCAATCTGGGAGCTACCCGGCCTCCTGTGTATGCTGCGATCTCGGTTGATATAGCGACGGGCTACGGGTTCATGGCCAGAAAATCAGGTTTCGAGTCCCAGCAAAGAGAATTCTCTTTACTCCACAGCATCCAGACTGTCTGGGATCCACCGAGCCTCCAACGGAACGGGTACCGGGAGCTTCTTCCCTGGGCGCAAAGCCTCCGGGTAGTGAACCTGATTATTCATCTCCATCCAGTGCCAGATCAAGAACTGTGGAGCTATATCTCCACTCCTCCATACGACTTCATGGTGTGGTGACTTTACCTTATCCTTCCACAGTCTCCTCGCCTCATTCTAGTGCCAATGTTAAGTTACAGGGACTTACCTGTGGCCTCCTTGCGGGGACTTCACGAGCTTCACGGCGAAGAGGAACTGGATAGCGCACACCAGAAGGCAACACAGGTTCAGGGAAAGTGTGAGAGCACAAAGTGCCAGCGTGACTTCGTACACGACGACATACTCTTCGGCAGAGATGATCGTCAGCTGTTCCGTTCTGCGCATGTCCCTCATCCCTGTAGGTGACATCGGCGAAATCTTGAGCAGGAAGATAAGCGACAGAAGTGCAAGCAAGAGTGACACCAGGCACAGTAGACCTAGCGACGTCAGCATCTCTTTGATCCCGGCTTCCTTCGACCGGGTCATGAACCGGGATACATTGGCTGGAATCAGCGTGCTTCCACCACTTATACTTGTGGTACGGCCTCTGGAGATATGTAAACCTCCATTTGCTATTTTTGGCGGAGTTACAACCTGACTAACAGGTCCATTCATTGTTATATTGTTCACAGTTGTGTTACCCCCTCCTCCACCCCCGGGACTCACCCCACTAGAGTTCCCCAAGGAATGTTTCGACGTACTAAGAGTAGAGACATTCAAAGCGTGGGAGTGGTTTAACCTCTGAGAAAGGTTCAAGCTGAGATTCAGCTGGGGTTGGTGCTGAGATAGAATAGTTGGACCACCACGAAGCCGACCAGCGTGTGTGACAGGGGGCGGCAGATCTGTCATCATGACGACGCCGTCCGGCTGTGTTCTGGACCCTGGATGGTGAGCCCCACCGTTCATCATTGCTGTAGAGGATGACGTCACTCCTGTCGGCATATGTTTTAACATGGCTGTCACGATACGCCGGCGTCTCTATATGACGACGTCCGATAAATACGCAGCCATTTAGTGACGACGTCATCCACACTTTCACTGCTGACACAACACACAGCCACTCAAATCAAGCAAATACGACGAGACACAATTAGAAGAAAATTATTTTTCACGCCATTGTTTTGTCACTATGATTATTTTACTACTGGACCAGGGCTTAAAGTGTTACTGCACATTCCTATCAGAGCCATTCTAACTTGTTTAAACAGCATCTCTTTATTTTATTAAAAACAGATATTATAATCGTGACTAATTAAATCAAACTTCTAGCTCAAACTTATATCACTTCGGCTTTACACTTTGATGCTCAGGCCAGCAACGTGACGTAGAAAATGTGAACTCCATTCCAAGAGGTAAAAAAATGTGATATCTGATTGGACTGGTATATACAAGTAAGCTGTCTTAAGTCTACAGTGGATGGGACAGGTCTTCCGTGTTGTTTTCATACGTCTTCTCCTAATTTAAGTGGAGGCGGAAGCCCCTGATGGTCTCTCTTGTAGATTAGGCAGTGGTTACGCGTGCAGAGTTTCGGTCTGCTGCTTCGACACCTGGCTGCAGTAGAACCTGAGCAACAAAAAATGAGAACTATAGTCAGTTTAACACATAATCTGACAACACTAGGTGGAGATAAATGGTTGGTTTCACGCCCTGGCCGCATTATCCACCGTACTTTTTGAATATGAGTTGGAGTGGACCTCATAGCCGAACAATTGTCTCTATACTTAACTAAAAACCAAGTCATGAAAACGTATGGGGATTGGAGGTATAACTCCACGCATTCTTAACCTTGTTACTAGTTGGAGATGAGTGGTCATCCTCACTATCTTGCCGCTCTACACTTGGTACACACTGAGTTGGAAGCTGGGTGGGCCCCAAAACCGGTCTGGGCACTGTGTATAAGAGAAGAATCTCTTGCCCCTCCCGAGAATCGAACCCTTATTTTAGTCAGTATACCTCCCGAGCTTGTGGTAGAGAAAATAAAATGCCTACCTGCCAGAAATTGAACTCCAGACGTCAGACCACAGCCGAGCAATATAGGCCTATATCCCTGCGTATAATTATACATGACGTCAGTCGGCATAGCGACCAGACTGCGTGTTGGACGACCGAGCAACCGGTGTTCGATTGTCGGCAGAAGCAAGAGATCTTTATTCTATAGTTGCAGGTGATGTGTGGACTGGGTTGATCTGACTTAGGGTAAAGTCCGATAGCAGCGTCTGGGTAAGACGGCATTAAACCTCGGTTTACATAAGAATCGGGTAATGTCTCGAATAACTGAGCAACAGTTAGGTTCTCAAGCAAGGCTCCAATCCATGATGTTAGTAACTTAGGCAGTTGGCCGCGCCATAGCTCAAGCGGTTAGTCGCTGGCTTCTCACCGCGGCGGCCCGGGGTCCATCCCGGGTCTGGTCAAGTGGGATTTGTGGTGGACAAAGTGGGGCTGGGGCAGGTTTCTCTGAGTACTTCGGTTTCCCCTGCCAATGTTCATTCCACCAATTGCTCCACAATCACCCTCACCTATCACCTGGGGCTGGTACAATGGGCAAGAAGTGGCCGCAGTGCAAGGGACTTAGTTCCACCCCACTAGCAATAAAAAAACTTAGGCAGTTGGTTACTTAGTTAGGGAAGCAGATAGGTAGTAATATAAATTAGGTAAAAGCAAAAAAGTAAAGGTATCCCTGTAACAGGCCGCGTGGAGGCCCATAGAGTTGTGAAATGTTGAGGTTCCCACATTTTCTAGACAATCGGCTCACAGATGGCGGTGAGGTTATCAGCCTTACGCGCCGGCCGCCCTTTACCGCCTGTCCCGCATTTATATGCACAATAAATAAACGTTAAAATCAGTGAATTATGTAAAGTTACATTTGTAACCGCCGTGTAACCACAGTGGAACACACATTTTTCACTCATACAAGTTTCTGCAGACAAATGCTAGAGCAAGACATTATGCCACTGCAAGCGTTTCATTCGGAGAAGTTCATGGAGGTAGGCCTAGGCCCACTGGGGCTGTAGTGGCAAGGGAAAAGAAAAAGCGTTTCATTATTCTATGATTTCTCCTAACACGAACTCTGTTCTATTATACACTAAAGCATTCATAAGTCTTAGGGAGGACATATGCATGTAATGTTTTGAGACAGGCTTCTTGAAAACAATAGAATTTGCAACGTCACCATAAACCTTCATTCCTGCTGTACACTGTAGCTTTCATGAAACATCTCGACTTATATTTATTCAACTTTAGGGGAAAATGTACCACTAAAATTTTAGTCTTTCCTAGAGGTGCCAAATTCATATTGGAGGAACGCTGTAGGGTAGTTGGTTGAGGCACTATGTTACAAGCCGGAAGGTTGCGCAATCGAATCCCGATGAGGTCATTGGATTGTTTTCAATTGACCTAATCCTTCCGGCCGCACTATGGCCCTGGGGTTGACTCAGCCTCTAACAGAAATGAGTACCAGGTATTAATTAAATAATTTTCCTGTGGAGTAAAGTGCGGCTGACAACCTTACCGCCATCTATGAGCCGATTATCTAGAAAATGTGGGAACCTCGACGTCTCAGAAAAACCTATGGGTCGCCATAGCCTGTTACAGGGATATCTTTACTTAACCCTACCATCTTTGAGCCGATTGTCTAGAAAATGTGGGAACCTCGATGTCTCACAACCCTATGGGCCGCCATAGCCTGTTACAGGGATAGCTTTACCATATAAATTCGTTGACGTTGAAGAATATGACAGGCTGGGTAAAGTAGAGATTAAAATTTGTAGAAAATTGTAGATGGAAATCCAGGAAGCACGATACAATTTAGGAGACTTGGGCGTTAATGTGAGAATAATATTAAAACTGATTTTAAATAAATAGTATGAAGATGTGCATCGGATTCATCTGGTAGAGGAAAGAGTGCCGAGGTAAACCCCTGTGAGCAAGGTAATGAACCTTCGGATTACACAAACAGAACTTTCTTCGCTATCCAAGCGACTAATGGCTTCTCAAGGACTCCACTCCATGGAGTTAGTTTATTCATGACGATGTACAAATCTGTTCTTTACAGAACTAATCAACAATAGAGACTCTAGAATGCAGTCACACAGAGGTAACCAGCAGTAGATTGCATGCAGTAATGACTACAGCTTCGAAGCATTTCCTTAAAACATGAAAATTCCTAAATAAAAATTAACCTGGTTGGCATCCTGCGTTTTTGTAGCTTAACAGGTACTGAGACGGAGATGGGGTAGCTCAGTCGGAATAGCGACTGGCTACGGGCTGGACGACTGTCGGAATTCGAGTCCCGGTAAAGTCAAGAATTTTCTCTTCTCCAAATCGTCCAGACCGGCTCTGGGCCCCACCCAACCTCCTATACAATAGGTACTGTGGGCTCTTTCCCCGGGGGCAAAGCGGCCGGGGCGCGAAGCTGACCGCTCACCTCCAGCTAGTGCCGACGTCAAGAAAATGTGGATCTATACACCCACTCTTCCATGCGCCTTCATGGAGTAACGCTTAATTCGTTGAACACAGGGACAACTTTACCTTATCTCGCAGGTACCGAGAACTTTGGTACGTTACAAATGAGAGTTTTACGAGCGTTCCGAAGAATCCCTTCAAGGTCGAGTCCGTAGGTAAAGTTTCTCAGAGTTCAGGGTTGTTACGGTGGGGAACTGCTAGTCGAAGCACTAACCCAATCCCCCAACCTGGTGGATCGCCATTTTTTGCTGTCCACGACTGCTTCTTAAACATATTAAATACACCCACCATATTTGGAAGTCATTTACAGCACGAATGGTTCTGCCAAAACTGAATTTACCGAACAAGTTGGCCTTGTCATAGCTCAAGCGGTTAATCGCCGGCTTCCCTCCGCGGCGGCCTGGGTGCGAGCCCAGGTCAGGTCATGTGGGATCTGTGGTGGACAAATAGGCATTGTAGCAGGTTTTCTCCGAGTATATCGGTTTCCGCTGCCAATTCTCATTCCACAGATTGCTCCACATTCATTATACTCTATCATCATGGGCTGGTACAACAGGCCAATTAGTGGCAAATGTAACAAGTGGACTCAGTCTCACCCCACCCCAAGAAACTAAAAACTACCCAACAGGTTTTAGCGTGGACATATCAAATACTAAAGCACAGATAAATCCATCATGAAGTTGCAGTAAAAAAACATGGAGACAGACGAAGGACGTCCACTGCTCCAAATTATGCGTTTATTTTGTGAACTGGTGTGGCGAATGCATAACAACCAGGATGTGTAGAGTTTGTTGAGCTCAGACAATGGGACGGGCCGCACATTCCAGTGCTCCGTGGTTCCAGCCCACACATGCCGCCAACATTGAATCATCTCTGCGCCCGTGCCCAGAGCGCGCACCATCTCCAAGGCTACAAGACGCGGCCCAGCAGGTTCCTGCCTGCCAAACTTCATTAAGTTTTCCATTTGGCTGAACACCCGCACAATTTGTGTCATGCTTGTTATTGCTTTAATTAATGTCACTTTTTTCTCAACTGCTTACTTTAGATTAAGTAGCTGAAAGCCGAAAAGGAGTGCTCCTACACCTTGAGGGATGTGAGGAAGGCTAATAACCTTTCACCTACGAAATGTCACAAGCAGTCACAAATTTGGATTGGTACTTTGGTACAACTTAAGCAGAGGACAAACAAACAAAACAAAACACGTGGCCTGTAGTCCGCAAGGGAACTATACCAACCGAGCGACCGCCGCTTGTCGGCGAAGTTAGTGCCAACTTTAGCGGATGGGGGTGTCATATTGTGAGCGCAACGGACACACCCACCATTATCCGTGATCAAATTAAGGGTGATAGGATTGGTGAGATATAAAACACGCGCGTGTGTGTGTGTGTGTGTGTGGACTGAGTATGAGCGCAAAAATATGGTAATATGGTCGGAAAACCTCAAGAAAGATACACCATTTTGTAGAATTAGGGGTAGATGTGATGTTAACATTAAAATATTTTGGATCTGAGGTTCTGACAGCGGTGATTATGAAGAATAGGAACTTTTAGGTTTTAACGCCGTGCGTTTCGGTGACAGTCCACCGGACATTATGTAACACTGACTGCCGCCTGCTTCTTGCTGGTTCCTTGTTTCATGTACTATTCTATCCTGACGATGGAGCAAATACGGTACTCCGAAAAGTCTATGGACTTCTACACAGCACCACTACCCACAAGATCGGACTCTTAACTTGTAAGTTGCCCGCGTTCCTAATTAAGCACGGAGCCATGAAGACGTATAGCGGAGTGGAGATATAGACCCACAATTTTTTGCCTCTGCACTAAATAGATTTGAGTGGTGAGCTTCACGCCCGTACAGCTCTTAACATTAAAACAGATCTAAAAGAAATAGGAGTTCCATCCCGGGTCTGGTCAAGTGGGATTTGTGGTGGATAAAGTGGCGCTGGGGCAGGTTTTCTCCGAGTACTTCGGTTTCCCCTGCCAATCTTCATTCCACCAACTGCTCCATAATCACCCTCACCTATCATTTGGGGCTGGAACAATAGGCCAGAAGTGGCCGCAGCACAAGGGACTTAGTCCCACCCCACTAGCAATAAAAAG